AGATGTCAAAATAGCAAACGAATTGGTTGTGAAATATATCATATCATATTATAGAGACTTAACGTTGTATTACCAGCTACACTAATGCATATACATTGTATATTGTTCTTTTTTTTTTGTTCTTAATTACGAATGTCCAGATAAGCAAGTTCCATTTCATAACCAGACGACAGTATCTTAACTTACGATTTACAACAAATGCTCATTTGTTTAAACTATGTGATCTGCTATTAACAGGCAATGGAAACTATAATTAAATGGACTCGCTTGGACTGGCTTTTGTGGAATGCTGATACGCCCGCACAAATCGCCGATGTATATGAACAATGGAGTACATCATATGACATGGTAAACACGCCTCAAACAGATAAGTTGATTGTTTTAGTTTGATTTGTTTGGGGTTTAGCATTTTCGCAATAGCTAGGATCACATGATGACGGCTTCCGGGTAGATAGAAAAGAAAGAAGACAGGATAGATAAGGAACGAAAAACTTGACAAGTGTTGCAAAGGGGGCAGCAGTTCAATGTTGGTCTCTTCCATGTCCCGTGGCAAAAAAAACACGGATGAAACTCCCCCGATTGTGCAGGGTCTCCACTCATTAGTTGCCCAATTACGATCATACAAAGGGGTACAGCAGGCCTGTTACTTCCCAACAACCTTTACAGAAAAAAAGAGAAGTAAATGAAGCAACTTGATGAGTAGAATCATTCGATATTGTTCATATGCGTATATAGATATGCACATGCTTAAGTTTCGCATGCGTTATTGGATTTTACAAGGAGAAATATGGACATTGGTATATATGTAGATTCTACAGCAGATTATCAAGTCTTTTCAATCCTAGCAATACAAATATAATAGCAGTGACGGTAATACGTCTTCATAATAAGCGACATTTTAATTAATACTTTAATTTGTGCATATAGTCTTCGTGATACTTTTTACAGGAGGTTGAAGGTAGAGGTTACATTGCACACAAGCTGATAGCTAAATCGCTGACTGAATTTGTCCGAGAAGAGCGTCGGACTGTAAAGGTGTTAGACATAGGAGTTGGTACCGGACTTGTGGGAGTGGAGGTTAGTCTACAGATCCTAGAAGGGTCTGTAACCAAAAATGTTTACCAGCTCCTAGCAGCTTTATCCAATGAGTCACGAGTCCTTCTGTACGAATGGAGAGATTTTAACCAAATCCTGGGGCAAAGGAAATTAAATTGAAAGCAAATAGATGATATGCCCCCTCCCCTCCCCTCCCTCACCCTTCCTCCCTCCTGGGGCAGAGGGGCGGGGCCCATCAGTGAGAACATATGGATAAATGTTTAAAATCCTTCATCAACAGGGACTTACATGTATACAACCTGAGGGTGTGATCCCCCCACGGGCAAAGGAGCGGGGTCCGATCGATGTAAATATTTACAATATTTCTCCTTCTGTAGGAATAGACTGAATGGATTTTAACCAAATTAGGTTGAGAGCAATCCTTGTTCAAAGATGACTCAATTTTGGATAAATGGAGGATGTGGTCCCCATTGGGGGTACTTGGCGTGGCTCGATAAGGTAAATCTGCATTAAGAATATGGAATATAAACCAAATTTGATATAAAGTATCCTTTTCACCCATAGAACTCAATGTTGTATAGGGACCCAATAAGGGAGCTGATCAAAGCCAGTAGTCGGAAATATTTATAGTATAATATTTCATGTGAATATTTTGCCATTATTGCTGAAATATCCAGGTAAGCTATACAGGCATTCTGAGCCTCTTTTATATATATTTACTAGGCAACGTCTATTTCCTATATCGATCTTTTGTTTTAGTTAGAACATAGCGGTGAACCCTTTAATCTCCTAACCGGCCAAGTTGTTTTACTTCATTAAGAGTTGTCTGTACAATAATGTAGAGGGCTCTCCCTGTGTCACTCTAGCTGCTTAAACGTTCAAAAATAGGTATGATAACAATTATTTATGAAGATTGATTTTTAAAGATACATGTACCTACATGTATACAGTAAATACGTGTTATTTCAGTTACAAAAGCTTGGCTTTCATACCATAGATGGTTTGGATCCATCCCAGCCCATGTTGGAAAAGGCACGTGCTAAACATGTATACACCAATCTCTTCTGTCAATACTTCACAGCAGGACCAACGCCTGGTCTCGATAAAGGTAAGCATTTTTTTTCAAATTTTGCTTTATTTCGCTTAGTAGAGGTTGAAATAGTACATATACCTGTTTGCCCTCTCGGATCAAACTGAAAACGTACCTGTTTGATTAAATTATAATTAAAAAATACGGAATCGCCAAATAAAATGATATCCGTTGTTTCCATACAAAAATAAAATTCTCTCTATAAATGAAATTCATCCTTAAAATAGGATTTACTTAAGCAACGTGGGTCGTGTTTTTTGTATTCAATACGTGGGTGTCTCGTCCTGTAATTAACAATTTAGAGAGGTAAAAAGCCATGTATGAGCTAATCTGAGTCAAACAGTTTTAACAAGAAGTCGTACTTTATAACGATCAGTGTCTTATTTAAATATTTAAGAAGTATTTAGGTGTTATTCAAGACACACTATACTGATATAATAACAATACTACTGACATTTTGTCATTTTCGACTATATATCCACGGTTGATTGTCTGGCCCACAAGTTAATCGTACCTATCAATAAATCAATAATAAGTTAGGATATCAAGTTTTAAACATTTTTGCTCATAATCAATTGATATAATGTTTGATCAGTAACCGATGTTAATTCTGACCATATACTGATGTCCGATAGTTTCCATATTTTCAGACAGTTATGACGTCATAATTTCTGCTGGCTCATTGATTCGAGGACATTTACCTACGGATTGCTTCATTGAAGCCGCACGAATTGTCAGGCCAGGTACGATTCATAATAGATATAATCAATGTATAAATTACAAACGATATTAAGTTAGCATACAATGTCAATATAATGCCAGTTACAGAACTATCGTGTATTATACAAGTATGGACTTTTGTGCTGGTGAATATGATGAAATATGAACTTAAACATGTGACATTGACTGAGGCGAAGCAGAGGTCAATATCAAGTTTTCAGGTTTATATCATATCATATTTACCAGCACAAAAGCCCATAACTGTTTTATTAGTAGTTCTGAAGACATGGTCAAGGTTCTTTTCCTTAGGATAAGCATGGTCGACACGCACTACGTGTTGGGTGGCCTTTCTTTTTCTTTTTTCTTAACAGCATCATTACGTTCTCCAGCAGCAATCTTCTGTTGTCGTCTGATAAATCTTGTTCAGGTCTAACTGCGCATGCTCTACGACAGGTTGCAGGAAATTTCCATATATGTTATTTTCAGAAATCGTTTAACCGGATAACCAGTATACATGACTTTTTTGAGGACTGGTCACGTGTATAGAATCCAGCCAATGTGATTGCGGAAATTTTTTAAGAATATAACAAAAACAGTATGTTGTCATTCTGTGACGTTTCACTTGATCCATCAGTTAAAAATTTGACTTTTCATTTTAAATATTTAAAAAAAAATATCTTTATAGAATGAAGTTCTTGGTTGTGTGATTTAATGAGAAATTCTCACTGCCATTACGAATATTACCATGACGCCTACTTGATGTCATCACTAAATAACTACACTGGCATTGTAAGACGACTCCCCACGATGAGTTTTTAAGATTGTTTTGAAATTATACAGCTGTATTCTACATTGGCCTATCACCAGTGAATTCACATTATTGACATATGTATACTTGATTATAAAGAAAAAAACACTTTATAAATATATTGTAGGAGGAATTATTTGCATGCTAACTCGAACAGAAGGGTCGGGTAGCTTCAATGAATCGGGATACCAGGATCAATTCAGAACCGTTATCAAGCAACTTGAAGAGGAGAAGAAACTAGAGGAAATCAAATGGGAGCAACTCAATTATAATAGTTCGTCAAACGGAATAATGATGGCTTATAGAGTCTTGCAATAGTGTTGTCGTGTAATGTTAGAAATTTATTTAAGTCTACCAAGGTCGTGTTGATGATTGTTTAATTAACTACAATTGTAGCTACATTATGCAATAGATAAAACAAATAATTGGAAGTAAAAACAAATAAGATAAAAACATTGAGAGATGGCTAGAGTTCGGATAATACCCAGAAACAGTTATTTGGATTCCAATGGAAAATATGCACTCAAGGAAAATAATAACAATTTTTTGATTGGTTTTTGTTATTTGAAAAATAGTAACTTATAAAAACCTATATAAATAATGAAAACATTGATAATATTTTTCACTTTAAAACATTTGTTCACATATTCCTTTGATGTACAATGTAAATAAAGCTGTTTCATATTCAAATGTGTGTTATCAAGTGTATATGTTAACGTGGAGAATAAATATCCACCAGGAAACAGTTAAAATGCTTTTTATATAGTTCATTGCCAATCTTTGAGATTGTTTGACAGACAAATGGTTATAGTATAGTCAAAAATGTATCTCATTAAAAGGAAATATTGTGTAGCGAAAAGATTAAATAGGCAATACCACACATTCATGTATGCGTAAGTTTGACGTGTAAGCTGCATGAAATCATTATGCGTTTGGAAATGTTTCACGTTGCCTTATATCGATTTTCGCAACTTACATGTGCAATTTGAGAAGCCAGATGTTTGCATTACATACACGTACGTGCATGTACAACTGGTCTGTATATACGTATTATATTTTTTGCAAAAAAGATATTCTATTTTACCCCGTATTAATGTTTGTTTCACGAAAACTTGAACTAAAGTATAATGATGAACAATACGATGTTTAAGACAGAAAATGACTTCACATTGCCATACCGTATCAATGGAACTAAAAACAATATTCGGAACTCCTTTTTTATTTCAATTCGTCGATTTGATCAATTGATAACAATCGATGATTTCCGGTCAAAATTGATATCATATCTAGCTTCTCGGGTAATGCATCAACATGGACTATCTCAGTGTGAGGTGTAGGACATTTTACTGCATGACCTGAAAACTGGCTGTATCACTAGAGTAAGACTAACTCAGTAAGTATTACGTGTACGTATTATGTTTGTACTACTATTTAGCTGGGAATTTTCGCCGCAGTATACCTTTTGCCTTTATCGCCCTCCGTAATGAGGGCGAATTATCAATACAGCAAATATTTGTAAACAATGTTATATATATATGATTATAAAATGTGAAAGCCAAAATCACCACTGGGCAAATATGGATTTCGACGGCAAAGGGCGAAAATTTGTTTGAAAAAAATTACCCTGGCAAGTGACTACATGTATAATCTGGCTAGCTATTGTTGGAAAGACATGCAGGTTGTTTTCATAGATCATTGCACAACCTGTAATGAATCGCGACGGCGCTCGAAGGAAAGGTACAATATCACCAACCTACAAACCCGCTACCCGCGAGGTATGAACGAACGATAAGCGTTTGTTCTCCGTTTTTTCCTTTCCCGGTGGCTATTTGACAAGAAACGATGATACATTTAATATTATTTCCTATTTATGTACCATCTGTGACATGGCACCGGCTGTCTTCCATCCTTTTTGTTATTTCCTCGCAGCATATATAAGATTGTTTTTGCTGAATATTTTAGTAAGAAGACATTGGCTGAATATCTCCAACACACATCCAGCTTAGGCATATACTTCATACCACTACCGTGAGTATAATACTCCAGTGGAGTTGAATGTTGATATATGAAGTGAAATGAAAGTAAACTAGTGGAACATACGGGGGAGGGGGTACATTTGGGACAAGTGCAATATTATTTTCTACATTAATTATCTCGAGCGCTCGACATAACTTCTCAGCGCACGACCTATCATTTCGAGCGCTCGACCCATTATATTACTAATAATTGTTACAAGTTGAAATACATTAAGAAACAAATATTTCAGGTTAATATTTTACTCTAAAACAAGTTTATTTATTGTGATTTGAATTGATAAATAGTATGTTTGAACAGATGGTTTGATTTATAGAATGTATATGAGATGAAGTATGATGAAGGTAATACATACATGATAATGTACTCCTAGTGACCTAAGTGTTGTATAGCCTCATAATGTCTGCTATATCATTACGTTGATTTACTCTACCTTACAAAAGGCGTTTTTATTAAATTAAAAAAGAATATATGGAAGATCTTACATAAGTGTCCATGTCGTATTGAATTTATCGAACGATTTTAATAAAATCGATATTACATGGACATGCATGTAAGATTCTATTTATCACGTAACATCAATAATTAAAAAAAATCAAACACAAGTATGAGTATATCAAGGTCAAATCGAAAGGACTTCGGTAATTGTATTTTTGTTCCGCGCAGTTCAAAGTAGTACTAGAATTAAACAAAAATAATAAACAGTTTTAAATGCAATGAAAATAATAATGACACACTTAACATTTCAAAATCCTTAAATCATAGTACATGTATCATGTAGTAAATACAAGTAGTATCTGTGGTAGGGTAGGAATATGTTCCCATGATTTTGACCAATCTCAGCACCCTTATGTTTTATTACACGTATGCAATACCATCTTTATGACATGGCCGTATGTCACATTTAATGGGTTAGTTATGTGATAAATATAATTAAGAAAAAATATCAGCTGTCTTACTCGCCATAACGATGTAACAGCAATATATACATTGATCACATACTGTACTATGTTTTCCAGTGAATATACCCATGCCAGATTTGTTTGCGTATCAACCCATGTAAAATGACAACTGTGATTGGTTGTAAGTGTCAATTGTTTTAATTGTGACGTGACGTTTACATTTACTATAGCAGACAATGGACTCTGCTAGGAAAGACTGTCCATTTCCGTTTTTGTGGACGACTGATTCGCCTACCAAACTGACCGAGGTATATGAACAGTGGAGTGCATCATATGACAAGGTAATCACACCTAAAAAGGATAAGTAAATGGAAAGTAAATCCAGGTACATGCATGACTTTTACGGAAAACAATCATTATACATATGTGAGTATATATATGTGTCGTCATGATGAGTTTGTTAGATTTTACAAGGAGGAGAGATATGCAATTTGTTGATTCCACAGCAGAGTTGTTCCAATTCTTACAATACAAATATAATAGCAGTGGAGGTTATACGTCTTCATAATAAGTGACATTTTATGCTAATCAAACCTACGGTGGTTCTTTATTTTGTGCATATAGTCTTCCTGATAATTTTTGCAGGACGTTGAAGGTAGAGGATATCTTGGACCCGTGCTGGTAGCTAAATCGTTGGCTGAATTTTACCCAGAAGAACGTCGGACTGTAAAGGTTTTAGACATAGGAGCTGGTACCGGACTTGTGGGAGTGGAGGTTAGTATACAGATCCTAGAATAGAGAATAAAGGTGATCTAAAAATAAAAGATTTAGAAGTAGTGTTTGGTACCCAACTTGTCATAAAGAAAGGCAGTTTTTAATCCTTGATCAACAGGGTCTTCAATTTATATAACTTGAGGGTGTGATTCCCCTGCGGACAGATGCCTAGGGTGGGGTCCAATACAGTGCAATAGATGTAAATCTTTTAAATCTGTCTTCTTCTGTAGGAATAAAATGGAGGGATTTTAACCAAATTTGGTTTAGAGCCATCCTTGTGCAAAGATGATTCAATTTTGTGTAAATGGAGGATGTGGTTCCCCTTCGGGGCACAGGGGCGTGGCTCAATTAGGTAAATAGAGATAAATCTCCATTTAGGAAATGGGACCTAAACCAAATTAAATATGAAGTATCTTTTGACCAATATAATTCAATGTAGAATAATGACCCAATAAGGTAAGGGAGTTGCTCAATTCGTGTATAATATTTCATGAGAATATTCATGTGAGCGATACAGGCCATCTGAGCCTCTTTATTATACAACGTCTTTTCCCTATAGCGATCGCCATTCTAGTCAGAACATGGCAGTGTACACTTTAATCTCTTAACCGGCCAAGTTGTTTTACTTCAACAAGAGTTGTTTGTAGATGGCTCTCCCACAGCCAACTCTAGGTGCTTAATCGTTCGAAACAAAGGTGTTATAACAATTATTTCAGTAGAATTATTTTTATAGATTCCTATGCAGTAAATACGTGTCATTTCAGTTACAAAAGCTTGGATTCCATACCATAGATGGCCTGGATCCATCACAGCCCATGTTGGAAAAGGCACGTGCTACACATGTATACACCAATCTCCTCTGTCAATACTTCACAGCACGACCAACCCCTGGCGTCGATAAAGGTTAACTGTTTTTTAAAAAATATTGTTTATATCGCTATGTAGTGGTTGAAATAGTTGACAGTGCTGTTTCCCGGTCGGGGCAGACTACTTGAATGATTAAGTTACAATTAAAAAGATGGAATCGCAAAATAAAATAAAATGTTATCTGTTGTTTCCATACAAAACTAACATTTTTCTCTATGAATGAGTTTCGGCATTAAAATAGGATTTACTTAAGCAACGTAGATTCGTGTTGTTTGTCTCCAATAGATGTGTGCGTCTTGCCCTGTGAATAAAGAATCTAGAGAGGAGAAGAGGTTATATTTCTCTCATTTCACTGTGTGTAAGATTAATAGAATCCATCCCTGATGTGAGGTATGGATAAGGTTATTCAAACCCAAGGGATAAAGTATTGAGCAGGAGACTCGAGGGTTTGCCGAGGGTCTTTTGCTCAATATTTTATCCCGATGGTTTGAATAACCTTATCGTGACGTTACAATGACTCAACAATGACGTGACAGCACGAATTAGGAACTCCCCGATGCCGCAATGCGGAAAAGGCGACGTGATGAAATTATAACCTTTTCTTATATATTTACCGTACATGTTAGAAAGATGTGATTATTTTTTTCTGCACAAACATTGTTTGCAAATATGGGATATGCTCAATCTGGCTGGCTTATTCGTTTTTGTCTAAAAAGCTTAGGGGGAAAAAAATCAAAATGGTGGCCAGTCCAAACGCAGTTTTATGGTTTCTGAGCTTATTCTGGTGATTAGAATGAGAGAAAAATACTCTTCCAAGCCCAAGAGTATAGGATAGGGAAATTATACCCTCGGGGTTTACCAAATTTGAAAATCCCTCGGGTGAAATTTCCCTATCCTACACCCCTGGGCATGAAAGAGTCTTATAGTATTGGCTTATCTGGGTCAACCATTTTCAACAAGAAGTCGTACTTAATAACTTAAATAACGATCAGTGTCTAATTTTAACATTTATGAAATACTGAGGTGATGATTAAGAAACACAGAACTGCTATAATAACAGTACAACTGAAATTTCATCGTTCTCTATTTTATGTTTTGTAAGGTACTTTTAAATTATTTATAAGGGGGGGGGGGGGGGGGGGGCAATATCGAGGTCGTTTGATTGCTGTTATATATGCTATTTGACGTGTCTTGAATCAGTAGATGGATTGAAATTTTCACGATTGATTGTCAGGCCCTCAAATTAATCTGACATATCAATATATCAATAACAGTTAAAGATATCAAACTTAAACATTTTTTATTAATGATTTTGATCAGTAAACTGATGTTATTCTGACCATATACTGATGTCCGATAATTTCCTTATTTTCAGACAGTTACGACGTCATCATTTCTGCTGGCTCATTCCTTCAAGGACATTTACCGACGAATTGCTTCATTGAAGCCGCACGAATTGTCAGGCCAGGTACGATCCATCAACGATACAATCAATGGACAGATTACATATGTTATTAAATTAGCATACAATGTCCAAATAATGTCTGGTCATTGTGATGTCATTCTGAGATGTTTAACTGTGCGATTGACCTAATTATGAAATTGTACACAGAATGCAGCTTTGGGTTAAGTGTTTTACTGAGAACTTACCACTGCTGTTAACGAATATTAAAATGATGCCTGCTTGATTTCAGCACTTAAACAACTAAACCTCAATTGAATGACACTTCCGCATGAACAATTCTTAAAATTGTTTTTAAATTTTACATATGTATTCTACAGTTGACCCGAAAACCAGTGCATTTACATTATTGACATATTGTGTTCTTTGCTCTTAGTATTAGGATACAGAATATATAAAAAAGAAAATATTGCGTGTTATTATTGTGTTTTAGGGGGAATCATTTGCATTATAACCCGAACAGAAGGGAAGGGTAACTTCGATGAACCGGAGTACCGGGACCAATTCATAGCCGTTATTAAACAACTACAAGAAGAGAGAAAACTTGAGGAAATAAAATGGGAGAAAGTGAATCATAGTCCTTTTTCGAGTGGAATAATAATTGCATATAGAGTCTTACAATAATGTGGTTACATAATGTTAGAAACCCTTTTCACTTCGTAAAAGCCGTGTTGATGACTGTCTAATGAACGCGCTGCTAGGAAAAGATTGAGAAACGCTCGTATGGTAGCTTAAGTCGGAGTTACAACTAGTGAATTGGAAGTTTGAAAAATAAGAATTTTGGAGGTCTTTTAATGTCGAAGGTATCCTTTGAATAACAATACCCGAAAAACAAAGGTTTCGATTAAAATGGAAAATATTCATTCAAGGAAAAAGGTTTTTGTGTTTTTCTTTTGAACAATTTTGAAATCCCTACAACGATATCATGAACACATTAATTATATCTGCTAGTTTCACACTTTTGTTTATATATTTATTTTATGCACACAGTTAATGAAGCTTTTACAAAGTTAATTGCGGATTTTTTGAACTAAAGAACATGAACATGAGCAATAATTATAAACATTACACATATTGGATATCAGTTCATCATTTTTTTTATAGTTCCTCATCTTGCAGTTAATCAATAATGATATTCTTGTTGTAAAGGCCAAGATAAGTGACCACCATGAACCATTAGACAATACATAACTTTAATGAGATTGTGAGACAAAGCAAATAGTTATGCTAAATGTTCTTACATGAACAGACGGATATTGACAATGAGGTAAAAATACAGTATCAGATTTTTAAAAAACTGCACAGGCGCTGTGTTATTTTCATATTAAATACCTTATTTCCCTTTCATTTTGGCAGCCCCATCATAACACTTTTGTTTCCTAGAACAGATACCTACATCCGGAGTTGTTAAGTCTCTGTGTAGAGGATACAAATGTAATTGAAGATGGCTCAAAAATAGCATAATTGTGGTATGCAAGTATATGCCCCTAAGTAAACAGTGCAAATCTATTTTGTTTGACAACACAAAATTATTTGTCAAAGTCCTGAACAGGGACAAACACTAACGCTGGCCCGCATTCAAAATGAAGCAGAGACTAGATAGATTGAAAAATGCATAATAGAGAATTTTCATGTTTCTTTCTTTTTATGCAAGCAAACATATCATAATCCGCTAGCGCGCTTTATTTTGTTTGATTGCAAAGCTGTGTCATTCAAATATATCATACATACCATACAAAAACAGTTCAATGCTTAAGTATTTACATCGCGTTACTTTAGAAATTGAAATAAAAAAGATCATTTAACGGTTTTCCCGTTGAACACAATATATGTATTCTATCCGTTAAAACATGTATTTTACAACCAGAACACTAGCGTTATGGCGGAGTGTATTCGTGGAAAACTCGAGAGGAAACAACTTCTATTACAAGTACCCCCCACTAGATATTAATATTTTATGTAAAACTCAATTAAAAAGGGGCTTTGACTGACATATACACCTGGAAGACAGTTGATAGTTTTTTTAAAAGTGTATTTTCAAATGAAATATTTGTGAAAACAGCGGCATGTATAAAATATACTTTCATACATCAGAACTGTATCTTCGCTCTCAGAGGACGACGTGTTTACCAAATTGTTGACATTTTAACATGTTGTCAAAAAGCAACATTTGTGCCTTGGATAAATAATTAAGTGACAAGAGTACAAGAAATGACGATATTGAGTAGGAACAGAATATTCTGAACGTTAAGTAAACTGTATACTGTTAATATTAGAAAATCAAACTCAAGTGTGCAGGATCTGTTCCTCGTGGTTATTGGATTGTCAGTAAGTGATTTTCATCTACAGATCTGGTGTCCAGCAGCTTTGCTGCATTTCCTTAATGTTATTGTTTTGATAAAGGGGCGAATTGCGTAGAAAGTGTGACACCTTTCATTCTTTTACTCTGTTGGTTTTACATGTACTTCTCTGCTGCTATAATTACAGCAGACAACTTTATAACTGTGTAACTCAAACGAAGTTAGGCAGAAGGAGAACACTGTATGTACGAACACATTACATTGGAATTATATTTTGTTTTGTCTGCAATGGTAAAGATTCATTTTTTTAAAATAGTACAGCAGGGGATGACTTAATGAGCGATTCTTTGTTTCTGAAATAAATAAATATCATAAAGCCAAGGTGACTTGAAACCGTAGATTTCTGCGACAGATTTAGTCAGGGGGATTGTTATATGCCAAACAAAGTGCTTGATACAAGAAGACAACATTCTGGAGTTCTGGCAATATTTAGGAGTGATCATCTTTGTGAAATTAATATGTTATTGTATGCTTACCTTTTACAGTTAAACTTGTGGTGATAAACTCTAATAAATACTTGATATGTGATTGAAGTCAATGGTTAACCATACATTATTCATATAATTGTATATATATATATATGTATTCATTTTTATGCAAATGATAATCAAAGCAACATCCATCCAGACCAATTTACACTCTATCTGGGTTGTTGGAGTTGTGTGGGCAGGAGAAAAACACTTTCTCTGAATATCCATGCATGCGATGACTTCGGCAATCCAACCTCGGCCGCCTGCGTGGAAGGCAGGAGTGTTAACCACTTGACCAACCCATATTCAAAGCATTGTATTTAAAATTTAACTTAATGTGCTATTTTGAACTACTTAACAACAATTTCGAAACAAGTTCTATCCACTTATATTAACCATTCCTGATGGCCCGGATGGTAGCGCACATGGGACTTAAATGTGGGAGGAAACGGAAATATCTGGAGAATAAATCAATGTGATTTGACAGGCGATATCACAGGTTTTATCGTCCGATTAGGGAATTGAACCCAGCCCGTCTTTGTAAAATGCGACTGAGCTGTCCACTGCGCTAACCTACCTCACGTCAACATTGTTGCTTGCACAATGGTGTTCATTGTTTTAATTCTTTCAAATGAAATTTAAGTTTATCAGGGTATAGAAAGTAAAAATACCCGAAGAAGATGATATAACATGGATATGGTAACAGGGGCAAAATGAGCTGAAATGCGTAGCAATACTCGCACTACATGTATGAATCGTATGTTAAATTGCACTAATCTGCGTACCCATAATATTTCCCGTCACCTGTGCCTGATTCACACGTCCTGTTGTCACCCTTGCGCTTCTTGCACAAGTGAACGGTTCTCAGGTAAGTGCCATCATTATGTACTTCGAGTCCTGATCGCCAATTTTGGCTGTTTTTTTTTTTAAATAATTGTATAACGCTATTACGTAGAAATCTGTACACTCTGAAATGTTGCCGAACATGCAACCTTTTTAAAATATGTGTGACGAAGCAAGAAAAAGTAAAAAGGGCAGCTGTTTTCGATTGGAATAACAAAAGGTTGTCGGTGAGTGTTGTGTTTTAGATATGTTTTGTTACAGTGGTTGCATGACAGAATATTTAAATAAACGTGTTTTCTGTGTCGTAAAATAGACGCTGAGTTTGTTTTTCGTTGTTTAATATAAAACCAGTTAAAATTACTTGAAGTTGACTTTGATTAACATCGTGAGTTTTTTCAATGAAGCAGAAAAAGTTTCCTCGTGCACACATACACAATACACATGGAGGCACGTATTTAATGACCATTAAACAAAATAAAACCAAGCCAAAAACAAAACATTATTATTATGATTTTTATCAGGGTAACAGCACAACATATGTTCGCCAACAAAACAGTTTTTCCATAATCCCTAGCAATGCTTAAAATTTCAAAGACAAGTAGAACTTTTAGATAAAACTGAACTAATTTACTAACACACTGTTTACCGTAAAGTCCTGACAGCCTTCTTGACCGTATTAAGTTGTTTTCTCACTGAGAGTTTATGATCAAAAGGAGTCAGTGGGAATTATAATGGGAGTGTCACTTTCCCCTGTTATATCATTTAAGAAATTATTATTGAGATATTGTTATTAAGGTATTGTTAATTATTGCTGCCACGAGTTCTGATAGTAACACTTCATGCCAGAATATTTACCTTTGGAGAAAATACAGAGCTTGTCAAATGAAAACTCAACATCACACACGTTTTTTTTTTATATATAAACTTCCAGTTCCATGATTCATAAAGGTAAAACAATTGGAAACGAAATGAAAAGCCGTCAAAAGTTCAATGACAGTTTCATGCAGATTGTCTGTTATACATTAGTGATGAATTCTACGGTAAATATGAAACTAGGCATTTTACACTAGACTAGTAACATCTGGTCAATGTAACAGTGTTATCGTGAATCGATAGTATTACTGTTATTTTATTAAAACAGATACATACAGTACTGAATATTTAACGACCGTGGACCTAATTTGTTATTCTACGATAGGTCTTTTGTGGGTCTTATCTACAGTATAAGCCACGTCAATTGATAGCATTACCTTGCTGTATAGTTGCTATGTTTTGCGTGGTTATAATTTCGCGATTTTGCGTCGGGAAATTATTCGCGAATCACAGTTTCTGTAAATCTATTTCGGAATACCTCGCAAAGAGTCCTAAGTGCGTGTTACTACAATCAACGAACAACCCGACATCGCTACTGGACAGGTGAGATAGTTGTTTTCAATAAGTTATATTGCAGGTCGCTGCCTGGGTTGTTGTTATTTTTCAAATCAGTCACATGAACTTCAAGATAGTTATTATTTTGTTCCGATCGGAGAAACAGTACACTCATTGCAGTAAAGTAACCTAAACATGCAACACTGGTTAAAGACAGGAAAATTTTGAGGTAAAACTCAAATATCATCGTTGCTACCAGATCCGACACTGATGTCTGCATGCTTTGTTTCGTTGTGACCCTCAATAATTAGTCTGATTGATTTATCTATTGTGCATGACTGATGGTTGTTTTTTGTTTGATCTGTTATTTTGTTTTATATTATTGAATTCTTTCAACATGTTTTCATTCGTAGTCTCAGCTCAACTGATATCACATACGTGTGAAGTGTGGATGGAATAGCAACGATCTCAAAATTGTCACGAAGTTTTTAATAAGGCGAATTTTGACGCACTCGCAAAATTCGCGAAATTGAAACCCTCATGAATATCAGCAATTATATAGTAGCGAAATCAAAATAAGTTTAATATATCACCAAACGACTATTAGAAGCAATGTTTAATATTATGTTAAATGTTACATAATGATGCCTCAACTGGGGGTTGTTGATTGTTGCCAAGAGACGCCTATACACTACACATGAAACTACTTACAGCTGGTATGTCTCAGTAATTAAAGGATTACCGGGTTATCATTAAATGCTATGAGGAAAAGACAGATATGAAATCAGCGTACTGAATGGATATATAAGATTTATTGCAACCT